ATATACAGATATGGACACACATTCATGAAGATATGCAAATGTGTTTATACACAGAGCGTGATATAGACAAGTTCACACATATATCCCTTTTCCTATACACTTGCACATACTAACACATACACTCATGCACAAAATATACTTGCACACATATACACATGAAAGGGTGGCTGATAGAATCACCCAGTACCATAGTACAGCCTGCCCAGCTCCGGGGGGCCTTCCAGCTCAGACCCATAGTCAGAGCTCTGCACTCTGTGTGTCTCCCCATGGCAATCCTATTTTCACACAGATGTTTTGTTTTGTGTTTTGGGGGGAGCTCTGTGGCCTGACTGCAAACTCTGACCTCTTAAGACGCTCGTGTCTGTGTGGGCCGCTCACAAGACATGTCAATCCTCTTTGCGTTTCCAAGTTGCACATCTCCATACCTCCTCCCAAGAGAGTAGGAAGCTGGGTGCCCAGCCAAACGTGCCGATTCTGGACCYGCCCCGAACCCCAGCCTAATTGTCCTGATGTGATCGACCCATGCTGTCTCCAACCTCCTTAATCAGTGTGAAAACTCTCCTGGGTTCCTGTGTTTCGGATCTTGTGACCAGACTAACCTGGCCCGTGCAGGGGTTGGCGTGTCCGCATGGGGAAATGCACTAATATGGATGTTTCTCTTTGTGTGTGCACCCTGCAGTGTTGTTTACCAGGATGGATTTTATGGTGCAGACATTTATGTAAGTATTCATTAACGTGCATGCCGTCCTTGTTTCTGCCCAGAGTCATTCCTTTTACAAGTTTGCTGCAAAAACCTCCATGCGGTGTAGTCAGACCTCCTCCTCCAGGTCTGTAGGAACGAAYCCAGAGCCTCGCCTCCCAGGCAGAAAGACTTCTGCTCCTGAGCTCATAGGAAGCATCCCTCGCTGTTTGAGGGGAATTAACTCCTTCATCAGCTTCAGAATTGACACAGTCCCCCCCCMAAAAAAAGGTAGCACTTCTCCCGGGCCCAATGGAAGACCCTATCCCCCAAGAAACTGTCTCCAGAGTTCTCAATATGGTCTGAGTGTTCTTGGTATAATATTTAGGAGAAGAGTTGTAGTTACCAGCTACAGAGGATTAAACGGTATTTTCATGGCTACCATTCTTGATGCTTTCCTTATAAATATAATTAACTTATCAAAACCGCCCTAGGAAGAGTCTCTCTGTCTCTGAACATGGATGAGTTTACCAAGAAACACCTAAATCTCCCCAGAAAATGTATGTAGACTTGAACATTAATTTCTTATTTTCTTCAACCATTTATTCTATTTCCCCAGAACATTTACCCAGCTTTAATTTTTCAGTAATTGGTACCACTTTGTCAAACTTTTCCTCCTTRGAAAAGACTAGGGTGTTTCTCATTATGGGGGCCATAGTTTAACTCACCTACATTCACCTAGATGAATTGATTCTTCCACATGAGAATACAAACATCAATTTTAAGAAAATTACTTGAAACAAACACAATTGAAAATAAGTGGGCAGTATTGGGGAGGGACTCTCGAAATCACATAATTTTTATYACTAATAGCCTCAAATAAGTCAGTGGAATCATATTTGTGGTTTTATGGGCTAGATAACAAAGAAAAATAAAACTATATTTCTGATCAAATTGATGCCATTTCCTAGAAAATGAGAAAGACACTGGTTATTTAATTTTATTCCTCTTGAATTTCAGATCACTACAGTTTTGAGACATAGTATTAATCTCCATCAATGATGGACTTAGTCAAGTTCTATTATTCATTATATTTACCATCATCCATGGGTTWTATTTTCCTGTAATAAAATGAGTGGACTACATGTTTTTATGAACTCTGTTAACAACCCGTTTCCATTTTTTTGTGTAACTTAAGCTGCTCCTTGTCACATCCTACTTGGGTCCATGCCATTTTAGATGGTGAGAGCGGTGGGGACCAATCAGTGTGGAATCAGCCTTATCCTCCTGTACCTTGTGAATCCCAAATCCCTGCCTCCAGGTGTCCAAAGGGGGAGCATGCAGATGAAAGGACTATAGTTGGTATAACTGAGTTTAGGGCTTTATTACTATTATTAAATGTTTTAACTTGGGGAACAGAAGGTTGTAGATGAGGGATGGAGAAATTTAAAAAATCAAATCCACTGGAAAGAAAGCTATTTCCATCAGCACCCACCCAAAGGTAGGGGGGAATTGTATGTCCCTGAGCCTAGTTATAAAAATAAAGATCATAGTAATTCAGCCATCACTATGGAGTGTCCACTTCCAAGTGCCTTGGTTTCTTCCCTAGGTTAAAATGCTACTTCACTGATTTATCAATTTGCACCCTGCATATTTCAAACCCGTATCTTTTCCGTGCCTCACAGATTCTAATTTAGCAGGAAGTAGAAGCTGCCCGAAGGCAGGGACCGTGGTCATGCCACAGGAAGGACAAGCTAGGAGAGCAGGTCACCAGGAGTGTGCGTGGACTGGGCCAGGAGGCTCGCTCAGAAGATCCACGGAGCCAGGCAGGTGGGGAACAGAGAAGGCACAGGAGAGGGCCAGGTGCCAGCCTACACCAGGGTACCAGGAGATTAAGAGATGCCATCAGACGGGAGCTAAGTAGAAATTAGGGGAAAGGAGAGGTGTCCACCCTCCCCAAGAGCTGAGCCCTCAGGAGAAGGCTGCCTCTGGTCACCATGGAGATACGCAGCAGGGGGCTGGCTACTCAGCTGATGACGTGGGGGTTGCTTAGTCAGCAAGGAGGGTAGGTAGGGTCGCACCTGAGCCCTCTGACATGAGGACACACACACACACACACACACACACACACATACCACATTGGCTTAAAAAGACAGGAATTTAATTTTTTAACTATCATATCAAACTACAAGGTAACTACTACTGCTTAGTGTGCATTAAAAAGTGTGTCAAATTAAAGATATACTTAAATAACAGCAGGGATGAAACACACTTAAAGCCAGAGTTGAGAACTAAAGTTTCCTGGACCCGTGGAACCTTCCACTCCACTCACAGRGAAGCTGTAGACCCCTCCAGGCCAGAGCCTAGCCGGGAGGTGGAAGAGAGGTGTTCCCTGAGCTTCACCAAGATCCATGCTGGTGTCCTCCGGGAGAGGCAAAGGACACGGCTGTTGATCAAAGATATTGAAAATGCAAAGAAGGACAGGAGGAAGTGAAATTCTATGAGAGCTGTAAGAATTTTGACAAGTTATGCATAGAAACTGGGGTAGGTCAGCAATGAGCCAGGCAGTAGGAGGGGCAGAAAGGAAGGTGCCCAACGTCAATGTGAAAGGTGTCCCTTTTAGCTAGGGGTGCCTGGGGTTCCTGAGTGCAGCCACTAGGGCGTCCTGGAGGAGGTGTCTCAGTGACATCGAGACGCATGTTCCAYCATCCCTGAGTTCCATGATAACCAGTTTCTGGTGGACGCCGTGGCTGGACACACTGCCTTCTGCATTCATGTCACTCTGTCAACCACGTGTCTTAAGACAAAGAGGTGTCCTCATGCCACTGATATTTGAGGTCAGGAAAAAGAAGTGTCCCTGGCTTTGGGGACACAGGGAAGTGGGAATTCTCCCAAATACAAACACAAGTCTTTGCTCTTGAGACCCCACTTTTAGTAAGAGCCAGCAGAGGGGCAGCATGAGGCTGCCTGCCCTCCGTCATGACAGGGTCAATTCGCCAAGCGTCCTCTGTTCCAGAGACAAGGAGCTCAGCGGGGAAGCTGTGTCCCTCCTCTCACACACCCAGGAAGACAGGGAGCACATCACCTCCATGKTTTTTTTTTTTAGAAGAGGAAATATTTCTTTTTTGCCAGAAAAAAAAAGATGAAATAATTTGTCTCATTATCTTTCCTGACCTGGAAGCGTGAAGCCACAATGATCTGGCTGCAGAGGCCACACTCAAGCACTGAACCGGCCAATTAAAGTTGTGGCAAATTTTGAAAAACCCAAGAAAGGAAAGGAAGAGGGTGAGAAGTCGGACAGGATAGGAATGGCAGGGCCTGGAGCGCCGTGTCTTTATTTGAAACCTTCAGATATGCCGTGAGGTCTGCCGAGGGTGGACACGAGAACTTTGACAGAGCTCCACAAGCTTAGATTTTAACTTCAATGACAAGGTTAAATAAAACTGACTCAAAAGGAAAATCAGATTATGTAAGAAAAAATATATACACACATACATTTATAGGCAGCTTCCTAAATCCCTAAAAATGCCCAAACTCTTGATATCTTCTCCTGGAACTAGAGAGTTTCTCTTGAAATTCCATCCACATGCAGGAGAGATCACTCTTGAGTAACTCACATCCCCAGTGGTTTCCAGTCTGTAGAGGTTTCTGCCGAGTCCTTGTCGGCATTAGATTTCAATGAAGTGATGCGTTAGGGACCCGGGTGTTAACAGTAGCTCTGTTAAACATGCCCACCCGCAGGTGTTCCAGTCGGGTCTACGAAAAGTAGGTTCCATAGCCTCAGTGTGACTCATGAATTTGTGAAATACAATTCCACTGTGTTATTAGTTGATATTATTAGCAAATAGAGCCACTGATGTAGTTGTGGCTGCTACTAAATCATTGTCATAGCTGCCTACATAATTAGGCCTCCAAATTAAATTCCCAGGTAGACTGGAGAATTCCAATCATGAGATAAAGAGACAAATTCCCTGTAGTTAGCTTGAAACACTGGATTTTGTTTTGCAAGTTGAAAAGCCATGAAATTATCGTTTTTTACCTCTTTAAAAATGGACWCAGGTTAGATCCCAAATACAAACAGTGCGCATGGATCGTGATCCCAGCCTTCTTTGGGAGTCTCTGTAATAAAGACTTGCAGCTACAAGCTTTTGGCCAAGCCCAGTTCCCCTTTTGGTCTAGTGGGTCAYTCCCCTGTCTCAGTGACCTCAGAAAAGCAAACTTGTAAATGAATTGCTCTGGAATCTGTCTGACTTATGCATCTTCTTTTATTTATTTCATTTTTTTTTTGCATTGAAAACATTACATTTCTGTTTCCTTATAGAGTAGTGTATCAAGAGCCTGTGTATGGCAATAAATTGCTGCAGGTATGAAATCCCAACTGGTGGAAAGACTCATTACTTTGTTGTGGGTTTGCTGTGAAATCCTTACTAACGAGACAGTTCTGGGGAGGGGGAAACGTTTTCTAACATCGAAGGAGAAGCTCGCTGAATTTTCCAGTTTTAATGTGAGCTCTAGCACAGGGATGATCACCCCCTTGTCTTCTGATAGGTCCATAGTTACGCGGAGGCTGTTTCCACACTGAAGTCAGACAGCCGCACCCGTGAGCCTTGCTGGATCACAAGCATAGTAAATTGGAGGTCTAAGCTCAGCTCTTAATTTCTTGGCCTTATCTGGACTCAATCAATATAAATTTAGCAAAAAAAAAAAAAATAATAATTGAACTAATTGCCTGGGCCATTTTTTGGTAGGTTCTTGGGAGTCCTTATATCCAACATGGGGTCCACAGAGCTAACATTTAATAACCCTCCTTGGTTTTGTTATAACTGGTCAGGAATTTATTTCACACTTGCTAGAACTCTAAAACCTTATTTCTCGCTATGGAAGCAACCCCCAAATGAAGGCCCAAGTGACTGGATTTGTAGGAAGAAAAAAATAAAATCCACACATCTGTTGCTGGCTGAGTCTCCAGATCTGGTCTATCACTAACACTGAAACTGTCAAATAAAATGAAAGATGAATATCAAACTGAGAATGATTTGTGGGCGCTTTATCACACGAGTTTTCCTGTTACCTGCAATTCTCATTTTTATTCAGTATTAAATCAACGAGCAAGGTACTTATTTTTTTTCAGTCATGAAAATTGATCCAATTTAAATTTTTTAAAAATTTTAAGACTCACAAATATGAAAAAGGGATGCTCGGACCTAGGAGAAGGCAAAGTAGTTAAGATACCTGAGATCAACTTTTAGGGTCACATTTCAAGAAAACTGTGTTTCTGTTGCCACACTTCCCAAGTAGCTGAAGGTATAATAATGCAGATTAACTAAGGAGTCATGGTTGCATTTAAATGTCTCCTTTTCCAAATGTTCTTGCAAATGGTAGTACACTGAATAAAATTTGAGTTGTGTGTATACCAATACACCTGCTTTGCACAAAGTGAGTCCGTGCCCGTGGCTACACCTGGACAAGGAGCAAGCCTCTCTGTCTCTCTCTCTCAGATCAGGCTCATTTCTGCTCTCTGGTGCCCTGGTGCTGAAGGGAAGCATGCACACGTGTGTGCACACACATACACACCCCACACATGACATAGCCCTACTCAGAAGCACRTCCCCTCCCTACACACATGAATATTTACCTCACTTACTAACAAATTTTTAGAACCTCCCTTTTGCTAAAAGTATAGTCTAAGGTGAAAAGTTTATTTTCTTTCACCAAGTTACCCTGAGTAGTTCATCAGTGTTCAGTATTGTTCTCCAAAGTTCCACAGGTAGAATACCTGCTACACCTAGTGTAACCCAGCATTTCCACAACCTGTTTGGTCATGGAATCTTTTTTATTTTTCCTGCCATCATTAATGTTCCAATGAGCACAATTTTGAAAATGCTTTCTCAGAGCATTTTCAGTGGGTGACTATGCCAAGGGGCCTCCAGGGATTTCCCTAACAGAGGAAACAGCTCAGTCKATGAGAGCAGGTTTCTTTGGATGCCTGTCTTTGGGAGTGGTGTCCATTTAAATTTATTTTGATATCAAGACCCATTTACAGCTTGCTGCCAAAGTGAAAAATGAGYGTATTTATGAGTGGGATGTGTAGAACTGTGTTGTATTTATCATTCCTTTTTCCTTTGGTTTGGCGGCAGAAAAAAAAAATCTATTTGACTTGATTTTTGTCATGAGGTCTGGGAGGACCAGGCTCAACATGAACAGGGTCTGGTGACCTCCCAAGAGCAGAGATACCTCCTTTCTGAGACATAAAGCCATGCAACAGCTGCAACTCTGCCCGGAAAGCTGCAAAATAGAAAGCAATAAAGTTGATCCAAGTCACCTGCTAGAAAGGCAAATTAAGGCAATGTGTACTTTTGGATCATTTTATAGTGTGTGCTCACATACACRGAGTTAATGCACAATTGCACTCTTTCCCTCATATGGATTTCATGCAAAAGAAAAATAGCGAGGAAGACAAGGTAACAGAAGGATGGTGGTATCAAGCCACTTAATCCTCTTTCACCCCAATTACTGCAGGTTCCAGGGGCCACTTAGACTTGTGCTGTCCAGCACTGTAGACACCTCCTGCATTTGGCTGTTCACATTTGAACTCACATTAACTAAAACTGAGCAAATTAAATATTCAGTTAGTCGCCCTACCCACAATCCAAGTGTCCAGTAGACACTAAACAGTATTGACTAGAAAGCACAGATCCAGGGCAATTCTGTCATTACCATATGGTCTTCTGGACAGGGATGAGACCGMTGATCAAGGTCAAAGTCTTCTCACCTGCTCTGAAGACAGCAGCACATGAGGATGCTGAATTTTGAATCAGGAATGCTTGTGAACAAATTCCAGGATCTTGTATAGAAACACACACTTATTTCCTCTAAATTGCCAAGACATATACAAATGTACACAATAGAGAGCATTCCCAAATCCTCACGGATGAGCACTTTTTTTTTTTTTTTAGGATTCCTGTTTTACACACCTGCAAGTTGTGTTCCTATGATAGATATCAACCCACTGAGGTTCTTTTTACTTTCTACTTGCACTATAACAGTTAATTTAGCAAAATATTTAGCAAACTTGTTACCTGCTGCAGACACTGGGGAGATAAGTGAAGTTCAAACAAGAGCATTTGCAAATGCTCTTGCAAATGCTAGCAATCCTTGCTGGGACCAAATGCATAGTCGCACATTCACAATTTACATGGCACCTGATACAAATACCTATGCTAATTTTTTGTTGTTGTTCTAGGGAAGAGAATCCTCCCCCCCCCACACACACACACACTTATTCTCCACTCAGTTTTCAGCCAGTTGCAGCTAATGCCTCCTAACAATCGGCTGGCCAACTCTAGACCCTTCCTACCTCATTAAGTTTAATATGCAYACTCCTACACCTGTGTCTTTGTGTATGCATCATGAAACCCGAGAAGACGGGCAAGCAGATTAAAAGAAAGACTCCAGAAATCCCGTGACCTCATTTCTGCTCAGCCCGTCATTCCACATCTTGGGCTCAGCACCAGTATGACAATGGCTTTGGTGTTATGACTGCCCCGCACATTTAATGATTGCCCCCAATCCTAATTAGAGAAGATGGTGTTTGGAACACCAGGTGGTGTATAGCTAAGACCTTTAAAAAAAAAACAAAAAACTGACACTTTGTTTTTATAAGGGAAGCTATTTTAAAAATACTGGCTCCAAATTATTGTTGATTATTTGTCAGGATGTCTCAGATGTGTCTTCTCCAGGCTGAGCCAAAGCATGAACTTTTTAAGGATAAACTAGCTGTTTAGAGTTGTTTTGCAAGCAACTGCAGATCCATTCTGAAAGTCAGCTGTGGCTAGAAAGAGAGAGAAAGAGATAGACCAGCCTGCCTAGAGTTTGAAAGATGCTTTTCACACCTTCCCTGGCTTCATGTACCTTTTCTCCTCCTGCTTAATTTCCCCCAGAAACAGGATCAATGTCAAGACAAGTTAGTGCTCTGGGGACTTGGCTGTTAGATGACCTCTGACACACAATTCTATCCTGAGTTGCCCTTTTATGGCGAGGGTGAGAACACTTCCCTCAGGATTATGGGACTGTGCATTCTAATTAGAACCTGAGTAGCCCCTGTGTTTTCAGGGAAACTGGATCCTGTTTGTTAATTGTGCTGAGATGGTTCCACGGTGGTTGACATATCGCCGTGGTCCGTTGAGCAAGAAGCTGTGTTCCTTTCACAGTTTGATAATCAAAGCTCCACTGAACACAATTCCTTTTGAATATGCCCATTTGCTAGTCCTCTTTGCTTAATTGAACAATTGCAATTACTGGAACATACAACTAAATGTTAATTATTTCTTCGTTTCAGATTTTTTTTTCTCTCTTAATGATTTTATTTACAAATTAGGAGACTTTATCATGATTTCCACACTACATTCCCCATCTGAACCTGAGAGACACATAACAGTTTGATATTTTTAGACCAAAACAGACTCTTTAAAAGGATGCTCACAATTCATTTTTATGTTACTTCTGTAACATCTAGAAATCCAATGTCAGTCCTCTTCAAAAGACTGAGTGGTTACATGACCACAGATGCAAGGAGTTACTAGTGAACTTTCACCTGAAGTGTTATCTGATTTTTAACAATATGTGTGAAAATAAGACATGGGAGGGTTTACTTGATTTTTTTAAARGGAAATAATAAAGGATGGAATAAATAAAATTTAATATCTAACAAATACAGGTAAAGCATGATCAAGTTTAAAAATCTGGAAAGTTCAGCCCCATGTGTAGAGTATTTAAATAACCCCTAGCACCCTCCTGCCCGGGGCAATGGCCATTAACACGCAGGTGTCGCCTTCTGAGGGGACCTGGGTTCTTCTGTGGGCACACGCTAACCTTTAACACGCAGCAGGGCTGGTTTCAACCCCTTCTTTCTCCGGTGTGTTTTTTGTACCTTCTGCTTTGATACTAAGCTCTCATTAACCTCGACTTTAGATTGGTAGATTTGGGTACCGCTCTTCTGGTGTGGTCTCACTGCTGGGCGTCCCCAAGTTGGGCTCCTCCGCATCCCTAAGTCACCTTCTCCTTGTGTTCTAGGGTGGTTACGCTGCCTACCGCTACGCCCAGCCCACTCCTGCCACTGCTGCTGCCTACAGTGACAGGTAAGGGTCCTTCCTTCTTGTGCTTGACAACTACTGGCAATTAACTTAGTTGGTGGGACAGAAGACCCTCCTCCAGTCTTCTGACAATGCATGGCTGGGGAAAAAGCACCCAGAGGTGAGACCCCGTGCTGAAGGTACACAGGCCACAAAGAGGGTGAACGGTCGCCATGAGTCGATTCTACACTCCCACCCTCTCTGCCAAGATACAGAGACAAGGAGACTCTGCCCCAGAACACCCCTTTTTCAGATCTCTTTATTCCCACAACCATATCCCTTGCACAAGCACACACACGTATACACACACACACACACACACACACACATCCGCACATGCACACGGACACTCCCTCACCGCCTTCCCATGGTCTTCTATGAAACCCCATGGTGTCAGCTAGCAGGAACCATCTCCCAGGTCTGCCTCCCTCCCAAGCACCTTCTTTCCCTTCTTCCACGCAGGGAAGCATCCCCTTCCTGCATTTTTAAATTCAAAATAAAAAGAATGGTAAGTGCCTCTGGCTTTTCATAAGGAGGCTCATTCTTTTGGACAATGCCCAGGGTCCAGTCCTACAGACACAAGTCAACTTCTGTTTGCAATGCACACCACACGTGAAGACTGGCATTGGAAGGGACCCAAGAGTGTCTGAGAAATGCAGAAGTCAGATCGGGTGTGTGAGGGGGTGGCTTGATTCCCCAGCACTTACAGATGACTTGGTTCCTGGAACAGCAAGCTGTAGCTATTTTTGTAGAGGTGCCTTAAGAAAACAAAGTGTGYGTTTCCATATTGAATGCAACTCCCTGGCTCTGTTTTCTGAGGACATAAATGTGAATGTTTGGATGCACTGCATGCACAAAGGTCATAGAGGGTGCTTACTTTTGGTAATGACTCCTTTAATTTAAAAATCTGTTTCATGAGTAAAACAATAATGATAACAATTTGCATGTGTGGCTGAGGCATGCTGGGTCAGACAGGTAAGCGGGCAGCGCATTAGACTCCTCAGTGAGAAGCGGCCGCAGCCACTCTGTCCTCCCACCTGGCCTGTGGCAATTGAGTTCCTCTCTGGTTTGCTGTGGTGTGCTTTCTYGGCAGTTCCATTCCATTTCGCACAAGATGGGTGGTTAGCTCTCTGTAGCTACAGAATTCCTCTGCAACCTAGTGAGGCAAAATGAATCCCTGAATTTCAAAAGCTGCACTTGGAAAACCTCATGCATAAGCTCATAGCAAATGGCTCTTTGGAGAGAGAGAGAGAGAGAGAGAGAGAGAGAGAGAGAATGTTTTGATCTGCTGTCTGGTTGTACACAGGTATTATTTTCTTATAAAAAGCCATAACAAGTTCTGAAGGCTTAGGGAGCTTCAAAGAAATCCAAACCATTGTCAAGACACAGTTGTAAATACATAAATTATCCACTTACCCAATAATCAGTTGCCAAGATGCAAAATGTTTTATATAAATTGTTATGTTCAACACACTCTGATGCTGGATTAGGGAAACAGGGTCGATAAGGCTAATAAAAATGATGACAATCTCAAAATACTCAAGATCATTCTACAAATGAAAAGACTTAATGCTATTAAATTTTGAACACTGAAAATTTGCACAGTATCAAATGGAAAGTGGTTCAGCTACAACCCTTAATTATTTTTATGAAAATATCTCTAGATGCTAAATTCTCAAACACCCACTTTGTGTGTAATTATAATCACAGTAACTTTAGCCTGCCATATAATTATAAGAATCTTAAAGGGATTTATTTCTTTGAATGTTTATCTTGCTTCTCAGTATAAGTGCATCCATCCCCAAGTTGAAAAAAGGTTAATTACAAAATTGCAAAATCGCCTTCTTCAATGAGACCAATCTAGACATTTGAACAAAATAAACAATGTTTAATTCTATTCTTCGATAGAGCTACTTGAGAAGCTAGCTATTTCCACCCGCATTCATCTAAAATTCAGTTATAATTTTCTGCATTTTAGAATACCATGTATGCAAATATATGTATAAAAKTTGTCATTTTAATATTATTAAGATTTCTCATTGGCAGCATATACTACAGAAAAAAAAAATGCCCTCATTCTTGGATCGGTAAATCTGTAATAACTCTACAATTCCCAGTGCAGTAGGACCGTTTCAGCCGAGGAAACCAACTAACTCTATTCTCCCCCACGTAATTGGCCTCTTGTTGTTCATTAGAGGCATTTGCACGTTAGGTCTTCTTGGTTGCTGTGGACATTGATCACCAGCCCTCCCTCACTCTATCGTGAGTGAGATCCTTGTCACCCATGGAATTATTCGTCGAGGTAAACTCCAGTAATAGATGAATTACCAGAAAACAATCCCTAAAATTATATTTCTGGTTTGATTTATGAAGTGTCTCTGTTAAATGGTGGGGCTTCCTCTCATTTTTAGAAAGCAGACATGAAGAAAGAAGGTCCTTCTAGAGAGACTCATATTTTTGGGGGGACGGGGAATGTGAAATTATCAGAAGAGCTTTTGAATCTCTATTAAAGATGCCACGTATCTAGAATTTATCTCAGGGCAACAGGATGATAAATTATTTTTACACTCTCACAGAATAAGATCAGTAGTCATCGGCTCTGAGCTCCTCTTCTCTGGAAGATAGACAGGAAGACAAAGAGATAACCTTCTTAATGAAAAGAAACGCCTTCAACATAGGAGAGGGAATCAGCAGGCATTGAGAGTGTTTTGGAAATGCTCACTGGTTGTCAGTTTGATCAAAAGAAAAATGGCAACAAACTTTCCCTATAATCATGAGATTCACTCATCAGACATCGTGAAAGGGAAAGAAGTTTGATGTCCCCTGTTGGTAGAATTTTACCTTTTATCAGCACAAATTAAGCCCTCTTCCAATTAAAGATTCAGGAACCTTTGAAAAACATTGAACTCCAATAACCTCAGGACTGCCCAGAGGTCTTCTCTGGGCACCTGGCAACTCTCTGCCCATCATCTTCCTGGTAAATGATCACATGCTGAATATCTCGGAGCATCCCGAGAGTCTCTGGGTGTTGGCCTCCAGAATGAAGACCATCTGGTGTGGGCAGAGATTTTTCCCAAATGAAAAAGACCGAGCTAAACTAGGTAATTTTATAGTCTCGTTGACAAATTTAACGGGGATAGGCGAACATCTTTTTCTTGGCGTGGAGGAAACATTTGGTAAGCGCTTGACCTCACCCAACCTTTCAATCTCACTCTGATTTACCGGAAGGTATCCATTCAAAGTCTGGAGGAGGTTGTTTTCTGAGCTTGAACCAATCAAAGCATGGCGGTGGTGCCTATGGTCATCTGGTCATTGCATGCCCCCTTGGTGTTGCTGATGTGTCCGTGTTCCGTTCTGGATTCGGCAGGGTCATCACATGAGCTCCATGAATGGCTTGCTTGGATTGTGCCTGGGGCAGGCTTCTCCTTCTTGATTGGCTCTTGGTTTCTGTGTGTCAGATGACTTGGCCCCTGTTGCATCTTTCTGCAGTCAAACTCGGGGTGAGGGGTGGGGAAGGTTCCCTGTCCTGTGAATGGYGCCACAAATGTCTAGGAAAATCTGTATGACGTGCACGTAGCTTGGAGAGAAGAGAGTCACTAGAAAGACAGACATTGGTCATCTCGTCCTGCTTGCTAACACTCTAACATTTCCTAATGGTCGGTGCATGAATAGGTCCCTCGTGCTCAGGCAGAAAGCAACCGCAGACCAGCTAGAGAAGAAGGCAATACTGTGTTCCAGCATCTCACTCTGAAATTTCATAGCAACACGCTTGCACTCAGAGTTACCAGGAGCCATTTTCTTCCTTCACTTAAAACATGCATTTCCTTTGAAGAGTCCTGAATGCCAGGAAGCCTTTGACCTCCTGTCAGAGCACCAAGCCACACGGTGACCCTAGACTGAATGAAGGAGATTGCCAGTCACAGGATTGGGGTTGTTTTATTTTATCCCTCTTTTTTTTTTTTTTTTTTTTTGGTTCTTTGTTTTTCAAGACCTGAAAGTCTCATTGTCCAGACAGCATTAGAAGATACCCTGGGAACTAGCTCTGAGCAATTGTGTATAGCTCACCCTAAGAGGAACCCAAGGAAATACCCGGTATCAAGGACCTCACTCCCTGCACCCACACCTACACTGGGGGGCCTCACAGGGACTTATGAGTGCATCTCRGTAAACCTTAATGCAAGAAAGGGAGGGCCTTTCACATTCAGGCAGACATGTAAGGCACACGCTAGAACATCATTTAAATCTGATGCTCATAACCCATGAATAAAACATTCCATAAAACATTCTATTTCAGAGTGAAATAGATTAGTATTTCTTTCTTGAACTCAATAGATATAAGTAGGCCTATCTTTGGGGTCAGGGAGGATTTGGGCTACTCCTATTTAAAATTATTCCAATGACATAGATAGACGCCTTATGTAAACAGATGGTTAGATGCAGGGAGGTACCTAGAAAGAGAGAGATCAGTGCACAGGTGGTGGGTGGCTGAGCAGAAGGAGGGGAAGAAGGAAGGAGGCAGAGGAAAAATGAGAAAGGAAAACAGTGTCTTCTCATAGCACTTCATCATAAGCTAAATCACAGTCAATAGAACCAACTTGACCTTTGTGTAGAACCTCAGTCCACGCTGAACCAAAGGAGTAAAGGGGTTTGAACTGATTTCCATCCACACAGTCTACTTCCTGTCTATTTTAGGAGTGTTACTGTTTTTGGTTTTTTTTTTTTTTTCTGGACTTAGATTAAGTAATAGAGAAATGCTGTTGTTAAAACAGACAGGCTGCATTGAAAATGATACGCCACTCTATGTGGAGTCCTTATCCAATGACATAATAAACCGTAGGGAGGCATCAGCATATAAAGCATATGAGCATCCCCAGTGGGATTTTAATTTACCCACGAAGGGCCTTTTTCTTTATAGAAAGATTACTTTAAAAAATTTTTGTTGCACTTTCCGGATTTGATGATTTTACCTTTTTTGCCATAAGGTAGAACCCAGAAAGTTTGATGTA